GGCGTGAACGAGCCAGCACTATGGCTAGGAAGGGCGAAGGTTTTCATTCGGCGGTGGCCTACAACACCCATCAACCACGGGCGGCCCATTCTACCACTCAATTTGGGGGCTGCTCGACTTCTGCCTTTAACGAAGTATCTCACCGAGTTAGGTCCAGTGGCGTTGATAGCTTGGGGCGATGGGCTTGGATACGTCTTCAGGGCCGAACACAAGGCGTTGGCCAGCGCGACTTGGTGGTGATCTCTGCCTACCGACCAAACCCACCAAACGACGGGCATCAAACAGTGTGGTTCCAACATAATGCCCACTTCAGCCGCACCAACCGCGATGCAGAACCCAGGGAAGCTTTCATCAAGGACCTCTCGACGGCAATCAACAAATGGCGCGACGACGGCTGTTCTATCATCTTGGGCATCGATGCCAAAGATGACTTATCCTCCTACTCCCCAAAGTCTTTCCGTTTTCGGATGAGCGAAGTAGGACTGGTCGAGGCGATCCAGTCTAAGCACCCAGGGTCCCATCAGGCCACTTACCAGCGGAACCTCCGTGGGTATCTGATTGACAGTATCTTCGCGACGCCTGACGTGCCCATCCTGGCCGCCGGGTACTACCCTTTTGACGAACACGTCACCTCCGATCACCGTGGCCTGTGGATCGACTTTGACTTGAACCGTCTCCTCGGCGGACACCACGAAATCCACCCATGTTCCACGCCGGCTGGTGATGCACAACAAACGGGTGGTTCGACGATATGTCCAATTGGCGGAGCAGGGTTATATGCGGTACAATATTCCGGGTCGTCTCTCTACCCTAGGATTCGATGTTGCCCGACAGCAGGGCGTCATCACCAAATCCCAGGCGGACAGATTCGATCGGATACACGCTGATGCCTACACTGTTCGACGGTTGGCGGAGCAGAACTGCAGGAAGTTGTCGATGGGCGGGGCAGAATGGTCTCCTAAAGGCCAATCCATTTGGGATCGGATCACCTTGTGGCGCCTTCTCCTCAAGGGCCGACGTCAGTGCCGGGTGAGCTCCAGGAAGGTTCGCCGCCTGCTGCTCAAGACGAACGAGCCCTTGGCCTGGAAGTTGACCACAGCCGA